GCTTCACATTAGGACCTTTTTCTACTAGTGACTACCAATGAGGGTATGGGCGCATTATTAGTTTTACCGCGTTTGTTAATTGTCATTCGCATAAAATTGAACCTGGTGGTTACAACATTGCTGCCGGAGGGAAGACCGAGGGTTGACGGGTGCAGGTGCGGAATAGTCGCCGATGCCAGAGAAAAGGGAGGGGGGAGGGGGTAGGCACAAAGATTAAATTGTGGGAGACATGTTTTCGAGGCAGCCTCTTCTGGCAGCTATAGTGGTCGTTGTAGCTGCCGCTATAGCGGCAATGGCAATAGCATCAATTTTCCAGGTGGGATTTCTCGAGGTCTTCGCTTATTTTGGAGCCGTTTACATGGATCTGCAGAGAATTTTGCGGCAGCAGCCATAGCACAGCAGCAAGGTTTCAAGGCAGCAAATAGCGTAGCTATCGCAGCTATTTTGGGGGTGATTTAATTCTGCGGGGTAGAGGGATGGCCGATGTGGCAACGACAAGGTAAAGGAGGCGGCTCAGGAAGCGCGACACTAGCGGTGCTGGTGGGAGGGGTCAGTTCTAGAGGTCGGGTTGATGGGGACGGCGGCGGTAAATCGATTAACGTGGATTTATGTTTTCCAGGCAAAGCCAAACCTGTTTTTACTGAGGCGCACGGTTATTTTAATTTTCTCTAACCTTGGATCAAATTGTCCTTCTGAAAACAAAATTGAAATAGAGATACCCAAAGGTGAATCGCCCAAAAGACCATTATACAATAATCAACATATGATCTAATATTACTACCACATATGAACTGCACTCTAAGAGATCCCCGTCTCTAGCTACAACCAAATCAGTACAGATCAACGGATGGGCGCAAACGTGACACATATATGTAAGTATTCGGTCACATACACATTATTATGAGAACCATCGCTGCACGCCATCACTATCCGCCCAGTGCCTCACAGCTTGCTTTTCTCGAAGCACTGCGTGCACACACGCCATCACTATCGCTAGTTATTGTACCCGCTCTTAGCAATCATTAAAAAACACACATTTTTTGCAAAAATACATTATTACCCTCATACAGTTGTACTGTGAGCTCTCATACCAAAATTGTTTTCTTTTGCAGTAACCATACAAATAAATTTAATCTGACCAGTCCATTCTAAACAAGTTGATCGACCTACATAATGAATGATGTCGCTTTCTTGGCCCGTGGATGGGGCAATTCGTATCACAACGACTGACTAATCGAAAACACTACAAATGGTTGGTGGTATCTTAACTATATACAATTTCTTGGAGAACCATATATCTTCAAATACGTAAAGAACGGAAAATGTTGAACACATTTCTACTCGTGTATAAGGAAGCACGCTATAGTGTTTGATCTACCCATCTAAAAGGACTGATATCGTGCTTGATCTCGCCAAAACTGAAAGACCAACTTCCGGCTGAAGAGAAAATGCATGCATGTTTGTATGAGTAAGTTTTATAATATATTTTAATTTACTTTCTGCAATCATTATTTCCTTCAATACTGTTTATAGATATTAATTGCAGCATATGTGTATGATACGTATAGGTCAGCCATCCGTATCCGTTGTTGATTATCCAATTATGTGCAGATGGAGTGGTTGTCTCTTGACGACGATGTTGTACCTCCAGATAGGGACAAAAACTAGGCATATTAATATCGTCGATTTGTCATAGATGACAAATCAATCTAGTGATTACATGAGCATATAGCTATTGACACATTAAAAGGATTTATTTGCTTCTCTGGGCCATAACTGCAAAAAAGAAAAATTGGCCCCTCCATTTTAGACAAGCAGATCGGAGGACACAAATGTAGTGCTGTTTTTTCGGTTGTATTTGATGGATGGATATACTCACTAAACAAAATGTCGTCTGAGAACCAAAATTCAAATCTGATTCCGAGATGTGGTCCTAGAAGAGTTTCTCATCTTTGATTTGTAAAGATTTCAGATTTGTGTGAATTTATTTATTTTTAATTTACGGTTCACTCTGGTGCAGATGCGCACGAGCACCGAAACGTAGCTCTCATCTGGGAGGAAAAAAAATATGTTTTTAATATGATGCTTCATCATATCGATTTGCATAGCCAATTAAATAGTTTCGCAAGCTTTAGGTTCTTCATATGTCTACAATTAATTCGTCGGTGTTATTAGAAATGGTATGGTGAATAGTTATATAAGTTTGAGTCAATTTCAAATGTGCTAATGCACTTTTTAGCAAAGACATAACAAATTAAAATTTTCTCACAAAACAATAACTCTTTGGACTTTCCTACGTGATTTCATACACCATGCACGGGACTTCTAATTTTTCTGTATGTAATATAATTTTTGTTTCTGGCCGCATTGTTGCACATAATACTCTTATCTAAAAATAAAATTTTAAGTTGGTTATTTGCATCAAGCATAATCATCAAATATCTACAACTAAGATAGCTACGATGCATCTGATATTTATAGGAACATGATCAAAACCATTTGGGATATATAGAAGTGAATCACTAGGTTTGGTTTCCAACAAAAAGAAAACAACAACGCAACTAGGAAGAGCCACACCAGTAAATAAACTGCACTGTATCTTTATAGGTCCAAGCAAAAAAAAGGTGTTTACCTTCAAGGATGCATTCTGTTGCAGTAAACAACTCAATATAGCAGTATGGTGCAATATAGTTGTACATCAAGTCATGATCACTATGTGCACCATCTATTTATCTTGGCAGCATACATAATGCATATAGATTAACCAGAAGTGTGGAGTAGTTCATAGCGTCTTCACCGAAAATAGTGTTGTAGCTGTATCATTCAATAGTGAGGAATCAATCTTTTGTTTGTGCATGTTTATTGTTCCTTTTGAGCGGATCATATTCTCACGTTTTGTTTATACTCATCTCACTTGCACGCCCATTTTGTCAGTGACTTGGTTGACCAAGCTAAGAAAAAGCCATGCATTTGTTGTATGCACGTATCGATCTGGATGCATAATCTTTTCTGTAGCTCAGATTAGAATTGCTATATGCTACGTGTACGTCTTCAATGGTTGTGACAAATCTACGTCTGCAGTTCCAAGAGCAGACGCAATGGCCATGATCAGTGAGCGTAATGCGACGCATCTATACTTGCAAGTATTCAATAGGAGTCCGTGACAACATACCGGTAAAACATCTAAACTCATACATACTAAAAAGTGTCATGATGCCGTCCAAGTAGATCTAAATTTTCTCGATGGCGTGCTGTTTTGTGTAGACACATCTCTACTGCTGACATATCATAATTTTAGACCGATAGGTCTCCACCGTCCTTTTTTATTGGTTTAACAATATAGAATAGATAATAATTTTATTTAGAAGTACATTTAAACCCATTTTATTACAAGTATCTTATTGAAGATTGCGGTGATATGATGGACTACTCTGATCTTGCAACAATGCAATTCAGCAACCGTGTCCATGACATGTATCGCATTCAGACATAGGCAGCTCGTTTAAGAGCTAGCTGTTGTAGGCAGGCTGCTTACTATGGTGTTGAGCCAATCTTCAGCAATGTGGTGGTAAGCTGCCTCCGTCAAGTGGACACCGTCCCAGAATAGATGAGTGGACGGATCCTCGCACGTCATCGCGGCTTCGTCACCACAAGCGACCGAGAGGTTGTAGTGGTACCTCCCACGTCCTCCACAGCAAACTCTAAGAACATCGTCTTTTTTAATCCCTGCAACCACCGCATAACTGAACTCATCAACTTCTGCAATGTTCACCACCACTCTATTTTCTAAACCTTACGAATCAAGATTTGCACCAAGATTCATGCTGAACAATGAATTCAAAAAGGTGTGCAATATGTTTGGACAAAACTCCAAGCGAAATGAATCTCAGGGCACTTCCAACAATGAAGAACATATACACAGAATGATACCCACCGAATTTTTCAGGCGACTTGACCATCTCCATAACGTGGTTGAACAGGTCGGTGTGGATGATGGTCACATCGGGGTGCTCCGCCCGCAGCTTCTGGACCGCGTCTCGCAGTAGAGAGTTGTGGAGCTTCACGATCTCGTTGGGCTCCTTGAGACAGCCGGTGGTGGCGTCATATTCCGAAGCATCGGCGTCCTCAAAGGTGACGAGGATCGGTGGCGCGCATCCGGATGGGATCATCCCAGGGACGACTAGAGTCTTCGCCCCGTGCTCGATCACTCTCTTCATGTGCATTAATTTTCATGATGTTAACATGCATGTATAAAGACTCAAAATGGCAGTAGTGACATGAGGAGCAGGATGAGTCGAGTGGTCTTGCCTCGGCACCCATGGCGATGGTCTGAATGAGATCTGGGACGAATGCTCTGATTTCCTGCATGCTCTTCTTCCCGTACGAGTAGTGGTAGTCGTTGATTCCGAATTCACCCACGAAGAAGAGCGATCTCCCAAAGAAATCCTTGCACTCTGCAATGAAGCATTTGGCCTCTTGATTATATGTACGTATATCAAGTGTTTGGTTAATGGTACAACGGTTGGAAGAATATATCATTACCATGTGTACTCAAACTCACAATCCAACTCATTATATTTCAACTTATGTTGACATATTCACCATAGTGATTTATCTTTTTCAAATCAATTTTTTTCTGCACACTTTGTTTACTGTGTATGTTCATCACGTTTGATATTCGTCATCCATAAGATGTTCCATCCTACGCTGGCCTAGGTGAGTGACCATAATCAGCTGACTTAACCGGTACTTCTCCAAACCCAGGTGGCGGCCATTACATATTAATTTATGTGCATTTTCAGTTCAATCCGCTGTGTGAAGCTAAGTAAGTATATATAACCTTGGTCCGTTTGGCACAAGGAAGGCTTGAGCTCCTCAAACCAGCCAAGCTGCACTTCAAGGCTGGTGTTGAGGGGGAACGGGCTGGCGCCGGGAGGGTCACCGGTGTGGAAGAAGCTGGAGTTGAGAGCGGTGGCACCACCAACGGCGAAGTTGGCACCCTGCCGGAAGCTCCCCTTGTGCGACAGGTACGGCGGCACAAGAGGCAAGCCTAGGCCTTGAGCTGAAAAGGATACATCGATGAATTACCGATGATTTATACAAGCAAGGAGGGAGGCTGCTGATGATCGAGAGATTAATTACCGATGAAGTCGATGATGAGGCGGCCGTTGCAGTTGCGGCCAGTGGGGCGGCCACCGAAGGAGGTCATGCCGTAGGGAGGGCGCATCACGACGTCAAAGACGTTGTACCAGCCGAAGACGATGGGGTTGTTGCCTGTGTCCGTGAAGGAGTCGCCAAAGGCGAAGATGGAGTCGAACGGACCACCACCACGGAGGGATGCTGCCTCAGCCGATGGGTGCAAGATGGCGAGCGCCACCGCCACGAAGGCAGCCAACACCAACCTGCCACCACTACCCATCTTTATGCCTCAGCTCGGTGTACGTCCTTAGTGATGATGAGCTACGTATTTATAGGGAAGCCTCCACCAAGCGCGCGCATGCAGAGTCGCATTTGGCACGTTGCACGAGCAGGTTCACATCTTTGTCGCGCCATCCCATTCATTGTTGGCTTTGCATCGCTTTCAATCGCGCAAAGCTATCAATTTCTTCAATGCACCGAGAGCGATATGCTCATACAATCTGCAGATCAATTGTTGTGTCATATATAAGGAACCTAACATGTACTATATTAGTAGCATGTCTAGTTTTTTGTCCCTGTCTATATGGGACACAACGTCATCGTCAAGATAATTGCACCATCAACAATGGATTGGGACAAATTTGATAGGATGGCTGGCCTATACATATCATACACATATTACTACAATTGATTAATATCAACAAAGATTATTTTTTAAGGAAAATAATGGCAGCTAAAAATAAATTTGAATTTATTATAAAGCATACTGTGAGACATTCGGGCATATTACCTTTACAACTAAAAGTTCAGCAGGAAGTTGGCTCCTTATTTTTTACAAGAACAAACATGGTATCCGTCCTTTTTGAGAGGGGAAGATCCAACCTTCCTTATACATTGGGTAGAGATGTGCTTAAAGCTTTCCGTTCTATCACGTACTTACTTGAATATATACCACGTCAGAAATTTTGGGTATATACCACCATTTAGCTATGCAATTTAGGATATGTATCATTTCAATGTATAAGGATGAAATGCCATCCATTTGCAGCAATTTCTACAGATCGATCATTGTGATAAGATTTGCTTGATCCTCGCCAGGCCGCGAGTCCAAGAAAGAGATCAACATTTATTCTGTCTGACAGTCAACTTAAATTTATTGGTATGATAGCACACGGTAGCACGGATCCGGCAACAAGAGCTCCACGCTGACGGTAATAGCAGGCAACAAGAGTTTCATGTTGACGATAAGAGCAGGCGCAATAACTGGCGGCAAGAGTTTCATGCTGACATACGGCATACAAGTGAAAGTGCACCAAATAGTCACGTGCGCACAGTTCGAGGAAAAGTAATTTGTGAGGCTGTGGGTGGATAGTAGTGATGTGTAGAGATGGATTGATGGTTCTGGTAATAATTGATGGATTGTTGGTGCCTAAATCCATACATGTCAGGTTGTGTTGGAGTATACTGTTACATGAGAGGGATTGAAGAAGATGGGAGGGGCAAAATGGTATTTGTTTCTATTGCATCCATTAACAAGTGATGAACTTGGTCTGTCCAAGTGTTTTCTCAGTTGTTTGCAGTGTCTTGTACCTGGTGTTAGATGATATTGGTTCATGTCCTCGTGTACGCCTTGGCTAGAGTCCTGGTCCTGTTGTTTCTGTATGATGCGATTTTTTGGCTCATGGACAGCAATGAGCATTTGAAAGTTAAATTCAGTAAAAACATTTGTTAAATAGCGGAGAATTGGCAAGCATCAATATGTCAAAAAAAAAGTGAAAGATTGATATAAAATCACAGTTACGTCCAGCCATTGGATCAATGTGGAAGCATTCTCATCTTCGTCTCACCATATTTTTAGCCAAAGCATATACCATGTTACTTGAGAACCACAAAGCTAAGATCAAAGGCAGCCACAAGATAAAGTGTAGATATGATCATAGAAACGAAAGAAAATCTGCTAAATTTTGCATGCCCACAGAGTGAATCAAATTGGACATCACAAGAAGTTGAATGGGAATAATGATGGGGCATCACAGGCAAAATTTACAAGTTTCGTGGGTTCCCATAGATAAGTCCAAACATAACTACTAGGAGAATCTGTGAAGTTAATATTTTTAACATTGTCTGTCACCCAAGAGGCTGAAGACGGTTCACGATCTCCATTTGCAACTCATTGTCCAATTCCTTCAAGCAGGACTAATTGACCAAAAGACCAGAAATACTTAGTAAAAAGGGAATAATGTTAATTTTAGATAATATCAAAAAAATATGTATGATGGGAAAGAAACATGAAAGTAGGGAAGTAGATGAAATACGAGTGTTGGTGGTCCTTGGCAAATGGCAAGCAAGCCACAGTGAATATGTATAGAAAGTTACCTGGTAACCTAACGTTTTTCCCTCAGATATGACACATTCATGGTACCAATACTCAAATGTAGACATGATTTAGTTGAACAAATGCAATTTTGTCATTCTTTTAAACTGCCGACATAACAAGGTGTGTACTAGACTAGTGCTGCTTTTGAGGTAAGCCAAGAGTTTGCCATTCCTTAAGAACTGTGGAAAAAACTGCCGCCCAGATGTACAGATCCACATGCAAAAGTGGAGCACACAGTTCAAATGCCTATATATCAGGGAGGGAAAGATAAGCAGAATCTTGCACCGCTCCCACCCAAAGAAAAAATACAATTCCTTAATGTCTGGCATGTAATCAACTAATTTGGCAGATATAGAAATTTGGCAAGCTTTTTTCCCATGTTCACAAATCACAACTAACTGCAGGGCAGGAAACAGAGTTAAGTTGCGGTTGAATAGATGGTAATAAAACACAAGTTTCACAATTATTTCAGCCATGTGAACTACCACGCAGCAAAAGATGCTTACAAATAAACTTTTTAAAATACTCAATTCAAATTTCCAACTAATATTGACAATAATATGAACAATTTACCTGCTCTAAGTATCTCATTCTCACACCCTCATCAGTCATTATTCATAATATGAACTTTGTCTGAAAATGTGGACCTGCATCATGTACATAAGAGAGGGTCCATTATTAGCAGTGTTACACATGGTTAGACATAACAGAGGCTGCATTTCATAATATGTTCCCAGTTGTTTGTCCTTCAGTGAATTGTTTCCTATTCATGTATAATCACAAGGAGGCTCCAAGGGAACATGTATTTGTAAGCATTATTGAGTCTGCTTAGAATGAAGGAATATCGCATCAGGATGTTGTTGTATAGTAATGCTTCCAGCAAAAAACATGTTAGTTTGCCATTCTGATTAATTAGACATTCTTTGCAACTTTCACATTCCTTCGGAAGTAAAACTGTGGCTCCACTCAACAATTTTAAATCTACTCCCTCCGTCCCACAACGTAATGGACCACAGAGGACCAATGCATAATGTCTATAGTTATTACATGACCATAACAAGATTTCCCCATAAATTAACTCAATCAACTGTTTTAGGTGTACAATAGTGTGGAACATTCATGATAATGGCATCAGCAAACCACCAAACGAAGAAAGCTTCGAGATAATCCTAACACGCCATTTGGAACGCAATTCTTTAGAAATTTGTATAAAATGCACATCCATTCTCATTGGACACAGCATTCCATAGATATACAAAGTTCCAGACAAGGGAATGCACCATATTGAGGGAATGCAACATGTTAAAATCTCACCTTGAACCTTGTCTGGTGGATGCGCTCGAACACCAGGCAGTCACCATCGACCAGCTTGTGGTTGATGGCGAACGCCTTCCACTGGGCGCTGAGGCCCCACTTGCGCGCAAGGTAGTACGAATCGGACTCGGCACCCTTCTCATCCACCAGAGTGATCCACTCATCGCGCTTTGGGAGATGCTTGGTGCAGAACTGCTTGGGGAGGCCCTGCGAGTAATCCATCCAAACCCGCACCCGACGATCATCGTCAGTTTCGATCAGGGAGTGAACTGAATGCAAGTATGCAGCAGTGGAAGCCTTTTGCTTACTAGCCAGAAGCCTCCGGTGACGTGAGACTGGGTCATGGGCTTGACAAAACTGGGGTGGCTGGGGTCCAGCTTGGCCTGCAGCTGTTCGGCCTTGTCGGTGGCATGGGTTCTGGCTTCTTCGGTCGCGTAGACTCGATCAATCAAGTCAGTCCTTGTGCTGTGCGTCCTGCTTCCCCTGCTCGATCCAAAACAACCAAGAAACAGAGATCCAAAAGAACAAAGAAACAGAGTTAATGTACTAGTACGAATCAAATGCTCGCTGGAAAGGAAGAATCGAGCGAGACATGATTACCCCCACCTGATACTCTTCTCAATGTCAGCATAGGTATCCTACACAAGCAAATACACAAAAGAAAGATACATTCTTCGGTTAGTATCTGATCTGAATCTGAATGAAGGCAAAAAACAAGAATAAAAATAAAAATCGAAACCCTTAGCTTGGGGAGGTACGACGTTCGTACCTCGAACCGGTAGTTGGGCTGCTCCGGGAGGCTGGCTACGCGGCCGGAGCGCCGGGGCGGGGCATCCGCCGGCGGCGGCCCTCGAGGCTTCCGCTTGGCAGATTTGGCCTGCGACACGGACGGAAACCCGGCGATTCAATCAATCAAGCAAACAAACAGACGAACGACCTGCAGACGAATCGATGAGGGAGGAGGCCAGGGGAGCGGGACGGTGAGCGGTCTGACCGGCGAGGGCCTGGGGGCGGCGGCGGCGTCCCTAAGGGCGGCGGAGAGGTGGTGCAGCTTGAGCTGGTCGAGCTTGCGCCTGTTCTCCTCCACCTGCCGCCGGCGCTGCTCCTCGTACGCGACCGCTCCGGCCATCTTTTCTCCGGCAATCTCCGGATTTCTCCCTCTCTCTCTGCGCTGGGGGGATGAGATGGGAATGGGGAGGAGGCCAGAAAGGAAAGCTGCGGCGGCCAATAAATTAGACTGGCGATGGGCAGTAAGGAGGACCCCGGACCCGGTCCATGGACCGCAAACATCTGGACCGTCTGCGCGAGGTGCTTGTGCTTGCTGGACGTGATCGGTGCATGCGCCGGGTTCTGGGACGCTGGGCGTGCCAGGCCGAGAGCCGCGAGATTCAAATTTTCGAAATCTTTTCCGCTTTCTGAGGGAGGGATTCTACTCACGGGGGTCGTGCACTCGTGCTACTCGTGGCATAAATAGGGAAAGGAATCTCGTATATGTAGTCAGCCTCCCATAGGATTCATTTTGGTTTTTGGAAAAAAACGGTTCTTCGCGGCGCCAGCATAGTCACCCGTGGCGAGGTCGGCGAAATCTTTAGGAGTCCAAGTCATGGAAGTAGTCGAGTTCGTGGAACCGAGGCGAGCAGTCGCGTCGTCGAGGCGCTCTCCAAAAATTAAACCCCTTCGCCTGGTGCAGGGTGGCGAAGGGCGCAGTTTGGGGGCCTACTTGCCGCAAGGAGGGATTCTAGGGAGCATGGCCTCCTTGTATCTAATTTGCAAAATATAAGTGATATGTCATACAAAATATATTATTGCGTTTGTTTGTAGTCGAATGAAGTTTCGGACGATACCATTTTTCCTACATATAACCCATATTTTTTATTCCATAAACGAACGGTGGAACTTTAATTGAAAATGTGAGGGCACTTAATAAACCGGGACGGAGGAAGCAATTTGATGATTCTAGTGGCCTCATGTTGTTAGTCTGGGTAGCGGTGCCGACGATGCGCCAGAAATAAATAACTATGCCCTCGTCTCCGTCGTGGGCGACACTTGTTCTAAGGTCACCACAGGGCACGTGGGGGGAGGGTTATCAACTACAATGGCCCTGTTTGGATACTCTAACACAGTTAGAGTTAGAGTTATTTTCTAACACACTCTAACCCAAATAAGCACCTCTCCACCGGGATAGTTGGGTTAGATGGAACTAACCCACTCTAACCCTCCCTGTTTGGATACTTTTGGGTTATTTGAGCCCCCAACTAACCCAAACTAGCTCTAACCCCATGATCCAAACAGGGCCAATGATTTCCCGATTTTGCGATGGCGCCGAGAGTCTTGTCAATTGATCCCGCCACAACACACTCACCGTCGATTTGGGGTTGGGTCTCCTTGTCCGGAGTTCGTCTTCTCCGACTGGGCAGTTCGTGCCTCGGATTATTGGAGTTGCATCTCCTGGCAACGTTGAAAATGTAAGCATCTAATCTGGGTTGAGTTTGGCAAGAGGGGCATTAATGATCATCAGCTTTACCATGTAGTCTTTTTTTTTTCTTTAGAAAAAGCCATCATGGCTAGCTTTATTGATCATCAAATAAAGACTGTCGTGAAGGTATGGCACTAGCGGCAGATCTTCACATAAACCAGTTTGTGATTGCCTCGGATGCACAAGAAGTGCTGAGAGCGATCGCCAAGGGCAGCTTATGGTAGTGACATGACTTTGATGAGCGATGAGTATGATAGTGATTTGGATTCCATGGCTGATGAGCGTCATATCTCTCACCCCATGGTAATTAATAACATCGTGTTGTAGTTGTTATTAAGATGCAGAAGAGGGTTAACACTTACCCACTTGAGCATCATCTTAAACTCAGGCTAAGACAAAGTTCTCGTATTAGAATGTCATGCAATGTTCAATGATGATGGCATTCCGAAGTGACAATTGATTGTTTCACAAGTAGTTTTACAAGGATTGCCATGTGCTCGTTATTGCCCGAGCTCTAGCAAGATTCCAACTGCCTAAACTTGCATAGCTAAAGGCCAGGTTTTATCCACACCTAATGTTAGCTCCTTTTTCTTTTTGCAATGATTGATCTTGTTTGATGTGACATTGCAAACCTCTCCTAGTTGGCGAGGTGCTGGTCTATTTATCTTCTGAAAAATCTCAGTATATATGTCTGTGGGCATGCATAGTCCTACCAAGTCGGGGAGCGTTTCACAAAGCTTACGAGAATTTAGTTTATATACCACTCCCTCCGTTCACTATTATAAGACGCTTTGGATATTTCAATATGGACTACATACAGATTGAAATGAGTGAACAAACACATTAAAACGCATCTATATATATATATCTGATTCAGAAGAAGTTAGAACATCTTATAATAGTGACCGATGGGAGTAGTTGCTGAAGCCAAAGTATTTCCGGTTGCACTTGTGTTGGTCTGCTAGATATACAGTCCAGTCGTCTACTTTAAAGGGTTGAGAGGTTGATTTGATTACGGTTGGATCCAAATTCAAGGGCATGTACTGCTAGGGATGGGTGAGAAATATTCAGGAGTTGACTACTCTCTATAATTCAGTTGAAGTGTGAGAGGCCACAAATACTGTTGTTCTACATTTGGACACTGATAATGCAAAAATAATTAGGCCATGTTTGACAGCAACTCTGCTCCAGGTTTGAGTTGTGCTATGTGCTGGAAGTAAACCAGATCACAAATATGCAAACAATCGGAAAAAACATCAAGTATATCTCATGCTGTTTGCAAGTACATCGAACAAAAACAATGTACCGAAGGTCACGTCAATGTCCGAGTGTCACTGCCAGTCGATTATTTCAGCTGCTTACTGAAATCTGGGAGATCAATGAGTTGGATCCTTGGTATGGCCCCTGCTTCTTCCCTCTCTTTCTGTGTGTTGTATCCCCATTTCACTGCCCAAAACGGCATCCAGCAACATCAGCTACATAGGTTAGTTTTTCGACTACGAGTTAACCACTGGGTTTAGCTAGCTAGAACCATGACTTACCCAGGTAGAGGTTCCATTTGTCCAGCGCTGGTTCTTTCATCACGTTCTTCAGAGTCGCTAGTCGGTCCTCGATGAAACTGTTAAAGCGCAACAAAGAAAAAAAAAGACACAATTGTCATTCCTTATTTTTCTTGAGCTTGAAGGTACTATTATCCATTGCATAATTTGTATATCGAACAATGATTCAGATGAGCTAACTTTTGATCCATGATATAAGAAGTCTTAGAATCAAAATAGAGACATAGTAAGTGACCCCCATAATTTACAAAGAATTGCTTCGTTTGATTATTGTGCTTATTGTAAACATAGGTTACCAAGTAGACAGAAAGAAATAAAAACAATATTATATGGTATTAAATTCAATCATACAAATGATGGACTTACTGAAGTGTTAGACCTTGGTGCTGTGGCATTTCCTGCAACTGCTGGAGAACTTTTACCTTTGGACTGAATAATGAAATCAGAGTCAGTAAGAAAATCCTTGATAAGTGAAGGAACGGCAAGAAAAAGGGCCTACTAACCCAGTGCCAAGGCCATATATCCTTTCAGAGGGAAAATCTACTCCAGCCAATTCTTTGAGTAGCGCTCCAGTAAATCTACTCTGAAAGACAATAAAAAGGTGATCAGTAGAAGATCAGCATTCTGCGTTACCTACATGGCAGCTGTGAATTAACTAAAAGCTAAACCATCACTATAAAAAAAGTCAACAAAATGATAAAAGTCTAAAGATGGTTGTTAGAACCATTTGTTGAAACAAAATGCTTGGTTGTTCATAAAACAGAAACTGAAAGTCTGAAACCATGAACCTATGACATTGAAGATCATGATAAGTTAGGTTGCACAGAAGAAAAATGTAGGAGATAGACCTGTTTTGTTGTGACTATGTAAAGTTCAGAGCTTGAAAGCTTTAATGCATCAGCCGTCCCAGGATAAAACCTGCAGCCACACATTGGTTTGTCCATGAGTTGCACAATATCCTTTGTTCGATACGTATAATAAACATGAGACACTTCAGAGACACCACGCCATTTCAACTTTTTCGGACATGTACTAGCTATAAAACTGAAAAGAGAGTGGGAAAATTGCAGATACTGCCCACTCGGAAGTGACATACAGAATTCTGATTTGTCAAGTGAAACAAAACTTTTACGTGGAGCAATAAAATCAACTTAAAATTGTAAGGCAGAATCATAGACACACGCAATATTAACACACAACAAAGCACATACGTTCTCATGGAGACACACATGCACATAAAGGGCTAGGGTGCAGACGTGGAGCCAATAATCAAGAACTATAAATGATCAATATTCTTTCCAACATATTTGAAAACCACTAATCAACATATCACATCGAGTAACACAAATTAGAAAGTCATTTACAAGTTAGTCCCATTTAGATGCAATGAGTCTTCTGCTACTATTTCTTAAACTATATTTGCATCTCTGTCTAGGAGAAATAAGGAATAGAAATACACGCTCTGTATTGCATCCATGTGGTCATGGGCCTGAGAGTGCTTTCGGAAGTTTTGAAGTATAGATCTCAACTGAGGATAAAGCACCAACCGTCAATAGTGAAAAAACAAAATGTTTAGTTAAATGCAACTCCATTTCTCTGAGTATATTGGTCAGACCAGCAAGAAAATATACACCAATTATTCCATAGATCAGTCACCTGTTAGCACCTATCCAGCCAGACAAATCATTTTCAAGCCAGTCATCCCTTACACGGCCAAAGAGATCTACAAGAGATTCCCTATCTTCTTGCCACTCATCCATGAGAGTGGGCAACAGTTTTGACCAGTTCTCCAATATATCTTGGATGCTAAGCCCATCTGCAACCTTGCAAATACCACCTTGATATAAAAATCCGATCAAGCTAGATGCCTAAAATCATTTTCTTATTCTTTTACCACCTTTGACAGGACTGATGTTATCTGGTCATGAATACAATACAGATGAAGCACTACAGAACTTACTGATGATTTTCGAACAGAGGGTATCTTGATCTCAACAAGCAACCTTACAAGCAACAGGTTCTCATATCCTGTTTCTATCACTGGACGAAGCTGAAATAGAACAAAACATCCGAAGTAATGAACTGTAAACAGTAAAATTATAAGAGGGATACTATGTTATTCGTCATGGAGCCAATATGAGAACATAGTCCTATTATGCTTCATCAGGACGAGCAGCTCAATTTATTCATAGCACCATTCTTTAAAAGCCTTATTTGAAAAAAAGAAAAAAGGTTAATTATCACTGGTGTTCTACTATCCACAGTAGTACCAGATATTTGTAGCATGTGGATTGCTCATATGTTTAGGCAACTGTGGACAAACAAGTACTCCCTGCGTTCCGATTTACTCGTCGTGGTTTTAGTTCAAATTTGAACTAAAACCACGACGAGTAAATCGGAACGGAGGGAGTACATAACAATACATTTGTAGTAGTATATATGGGTTACTTCATATAGTGGATATAGGAATCAAGGGGGCAATATTCACATTGTTTGCTTGGTCAGAAACCTAGGATGCAGTATAGTTTTCAACTTTCGTGTTCTCTGGGAAAGACAAAGTGATGAAGATTTGACACTACATTATTCTGTACCATCATCCTCTCAGGTGTGACCACCTGCTTACAACAACAACAACACAACAACAACAACAACAAAGAAGCCTTTAGTCCCAAACAAGTTGGGGTAGGCTAGAGGTGAAACCCATAAGATCTCGCAACCAACTCATGGCTCCGGCACATGGATAGCAAGCTTCCACACACCCCTGTCCATAGCTAGCTCTTTGTCGATACTCCAATCCTTCAGGTCTCTCTTAACGGACTCCTCCCATGTCAAATTCGGTCGACCCCGCCCTCTCTTGACATTCTCCGCACGCTTTAGCCGTCCGCTATGCACTGGAGCTTCTGGAGGCCTGCGCTGAATATGCCCAAACCATCTCAGACGATGTTGGACAAGCTTCTCCTCAATTGGTGCTACCCCAACTCTATCTCGTATATCATCATTCCGGACTCGATCCTTCCTTGTGTGGCCACACATCCATCTCAACATACGCATCTCCGCCACACCTAACTGTTGAACATGTCGCCTTTTAGTCGGCCAACACTCCACGCCATACAACATTGCGGGTCGAACCGCCGTCCTGTAGAACTTGCCTTTTAGCTTTTGTGGCACTCTCTTGTCACAGAGAATGCCAGAAGCTTGGCGCCACTTCATCCATCCGGCTTTGATTCGATGGTTCACATCTTCATCAATACCCCCATCCTCCTGCAACATTGATCCCAAATACCGAAAGGTGTCCTTCCGAGGTACCACCTGGCCATCAAGGCTAACCTCCTCCTCCTCACACCTAGTAGTACTGAAACCGCACATCATGTACTCGGTTTTAGTTCTACTAAGCCTAAACCCTTTCGATTCCAAGGTTTGTCTCCATAACTCTAACTTCCTATTTACCCCCGTCCGACCACCTGCTTACAACAACCTTAAAATTTGTTTAGATACCAACACTGTACTTCAATGCCAGGGCTCTTAGTTACCAAAAAAATGCACCTAAATTTAACCCACTTCCGGATTTGTATCTGCACCTTGAGGAGCAGAGGACTGCACTGAAGTTACTGTAAAGCTTCCGAATAACTATGGCGGCAGGCTGATGCGCAGTGGGGATTTCACTACTAAGGATGGATGGCGATGATGATTGGCGAGGACCAATGGGGAATTAGATTCTTGGTTGAATTTGCAAGCCCGAGGCAACAATAAGCTAAGTTAAACTAAGGGGCACAGTAGTTCAGGTCAGGGCACCAAAAGACGTCACAAAACCAGCAACATGAGCAAGCCGCACAGTGCTTACCGCTCCAACCCACTAACCTCAATTATCCATCACATTTTTCAGGGTAAGTGCTAGCTATTCGTTATTCGGAAGATTTATTAGTCCCCACATCTCCATAAAAGATGCCTCCAAGTAATCAACGAATTCAATTCCACAAAACCACAGCATATCTAAATGGAGCTTTGACATGCCAGTGTTAGCCAAGAACCTGTACATAGGACTGAATATATACAGACTAACTGACATACTGTACATAGGCAGCAGCTAAGTACAGTAGTGGGGAGGGGAGCAAGAGCAAAGGAGGGGCATACGGTGTGCATCTGCTCCACAATCCACTCCTCCAAGGCGGCGTCGACCTGCTCAAACACCCACGGCCACCTCACCTTGGCGGCCTGCCACGGCGCACCGGGTCAACCACATCCACGTTTAGTCAACGCAAGAAACACGGCGGAGGACGGAGTTAGGAGCGGACCTTGACGGCGGAGAGGGAGCTCTCCCCGCAGCTGTCGCAGAAGACGCCGTCGAAGTCGAGGGCGTACAGGTCGCCGCCGCCCATCGCGGCGCGCGGGGGCCTCGCCGCCCTTGCCCCGCCCCTCCCCGCTCCTCCGGGCGGCGGAACGGACCGAAGGGAGCGCGGGCGGGCGCGCCAGCCCCAGCTACCCGCGGCCGGTGAAGCCCCCGCCTGTCTCGCCGGGCCGCCGGGCGCCGGAGCTGGACACACGCCGAGAAGACCAACGGCGGCCATTGCGTCCGAGGCTGAGCAAGAAGAGGCAGTCTGGATGAGAGAGTTGGGGCTATATGGGCTTTCTGCTAGGTGGGCCAAGAAGGAACGAGGGGGAGGAAAGGAATGATGAAAAGCCCGGCGCATAGAAAAAATTATATCAGTCAGCCCTTCAGGATTCGGGCAATTCCCGAAATCACTAGTTGATAAGTACTCGTTGCAAAGATCACTCTAATTCCCTTGGTCGCGACAAGTGGCGCACATGCAGCGCGCCACTTGTCGCAACCTGAGAGTTTTCTCTTTTCCCGTAAATCTGTTTATTTAAAATGTTTTATCTCTCAAACCGTGCGTCCAAATCTCGAACCGCTTTCACCGTTGGATTCCTCGCGTCGAGATCTTCAAAACTAGATCCGATGTTGATAGGTTTTGACGAACTTTTTTAACGAAAAAAACCGGATGAAAAAAAGGGCGAAAAACCCGGACCAGGAGCACGGGTTTTTCCCTTTTCGAAAGAGGTACGCCCGTGCCTCTCACGAAATCACAACCGTGCCTCTTACAGAAGTAAAACCATAACTCCCGCGATAGGAATATAAAAAGAGAAAATTTGTTTTTTTTTTCATTTCCGAGGAGGCACGGCCGTGACTCTCGCGAAAGCACAACCGCGCCTCTCACGAAAGCAAAACCATGATTCTCGCGAAAGAAAAAAAACAAAAACGCGTTTTTTTCCGTTTTCGAGAGGCACGGCCGTGACTCTCGCGAAAGCACAACCGTGCCTCTTGCGGAAGCAAAACCGTGACTCTCGCAAAAGAAAAAAAACACAAAACGCATTTTTTCCGTTTCCGAGAGGCACGGCCCTGACACTCGCTAAAGCACAACCGTGCCTCTCACGAAAGCAAAATCGTGACTCTCGTAAAGGAAGAAAAAAATAAAAAACGCGTTTTTTTCCGTTTTCGAGAGGCACGGCCGTGTCTCTCGCGAAGCACACCCGTGCCTCTCGCAGAAGCAAAACCGTGACTCTCACAAAAGAAAAAAAATACAAAACACGTTTTTTTCCTGTTTCCGAGAGGCACGGCCGTGACTCTCGCGAAAGCAAAACCGTGACTCCCGCGGAAGCAAAACTGCGACTCTCGCGAAAGGGAAAAAAGAAAACACGTTTTTTCTGAAAAAAATTATGTTTTTTCAAAAAAATAATATCGAAAAGCTAAAAAATACCGGTGGAAAACCAAAACATCGAAAAAAACCCGTTTAAAAAGCAGAAAGCGCTTGTGGAAAAATAAATAAAAAATAAAATCCGGAGGGAGCGCCCAGAGCACGACACGTGCCAAATGACTGAAAGCGTGTCAAATGACACTGATCGTTGTGAGGCTTCTGAAGAAGCGCTCGTTAACTAGTTGCTCTCGGCAATTCCTATTTAACGCTACAAGCGCCGGTTTCTTCTGTTTTTTCGCAAACAGGCGCCTACAGCAGGTTTCACGCGCACCTAGATGGGCCAGCCCATTTTTCTTTCTTTCCTGCTAAGAAAAGATCAGCACCAACCAGTAGACCACCTTCACGCTAGTGGCAAATATTATCTTTTTCCCTTTCTATACCGTTTCAGGTTCGCTGTGAATCAAGATTTCATTTTTCTTTTCTTTTTCCTTTCCCTCTTTCTTGTTTGTATTTTTGATTTTCCCTTCTTTCTCTGTTTCTTTTCTGTTTATTTTATCTTTTTCCAAAATGCACAATGTTTTAAAATCAACAAACTTTTTCTTCAAACGATGAACTATTTTTTTGAATTTGATGATTTTTTTCAGATTCAATTAACTATTTTCATATTCTATGGACTATTTTTTGAAATTCTATGATTTTTTTAAATTTGATGAACTTTTCTTCAAATTTGATGAACGCATTTCAATTTTGATGAACTTTTTTCAAATCGATGAACTTTTCTTCAGATTCAATGAACTTTTTTTTTCAAATTCGATGAACGCTTCTCAATTTCGATGAACTTTTTTTAAATCGATGAACATTTCTTCAATTTGATGAACTTTTTTTCAAATTCTATGAATTGTTTTTCAAATTCGATGAACTTTTTTCATATTTGATGAACTTTTTTTAGAATCGACGATTTTTTTTTCAAATGTGATGTTTTTTTTCAAATGTGATGTTTTTTTTCAAATTTGATGACCTTTTTTCAGATTTGATGAACTTTGTTTTCAAAGTTGATGAACTTTTTTCAAATTCGATGAACTTTTTTGAGATGCGATGTTTTTTTAATTCGATGAACTTTTTTGAGATGCGATGTTTTTTTTAATTCGATTAACTTTTTTCAAATCCGATGAATGGTTTTGAAAAAGGTGGATGAACTTTTTTGAAATAGATGAACTTTCCTTTCAAATTCGATGAACATTTTTTTAATTCACCAAAGTTTTTCTAAACATAAATGAACTATTTTTTTAAAATTTGCAAACTTGTTTCAAAATTTTATGAACTGTTTTTCATAAAAATAAACAACTTTTCCAGATTGTTTTTGAATAATTTGCAAATCTCGTAAATAGCGCGGATATATTGGTTCTTAAGGATTCCGCGCTCCATGTAGTCACTGGC